TCTTGTCCCCTATTGACATTTGATTACGCACAAGTAGGTGATCAGCTCAGGTTTACGCAGAACAGAAGGGAGGAGAGCGCTCTGGCCGCACAGGTTAAACGTTCCTACTTTAAGAAAACCGTTAAATTGCATTGTTGATGTGCTACCTGGGCAATCTAAATATTTATTTAAAATGAAATCAAAGGAAATTGTAATGGTATCGAATGTTTATTAATTACTATTTAAAAAATGAAAGTGATAGGGAATTTTTTTAACCCTGTCTGTTTAGCTTGACATCTGATATATCTATATATAAATATATATATATATATATATGCCATGCCCTGATGCCCCCCCCAGCCATGCCCTGATGTGTGTGTGTGTGTGTGTGGGGGGGGGGGGGTTGCGTCGACATGGTCGGGACATAGAAGGGGGTGCGCGGCTAAATAAGTTTGGGAACCACTGCATTAGAGGTACCTGTTGAACTGGACTTTAACTGTATATACAACCATTTTAAAGGTATGGCTCACTGAAAATACATTTTTTTATGATTATTTCAGATTATAATGAAAATAGTCTCCTACATCTATCTCCTGCATTAGCTTATGCTAAAAAATAGATGGTGAAAACTAGGATTTGAAAAGCTTGACAGATCTACATTGTAACGTGATATTACACTTTACACTTATTGAAAATGACCAATAAGATGTGATGATTCCATATAAATATGAAATATCAACCTAGTTGATCTTTGAATGTTTAATCAGAAGAATATTGTTAGAGTCAGGTATATAGTTAAAAGGAATTTCATTATTTTCTAAACTAATGATTATACATGACAAGATATGAATAATGAGATGTGATGTAGTGGATGTGAGGTGATTTAACGTCATGTGTGAGGTGGTGTGATGGAATCTAGATGTTTTAGCAAAACCGTTCTTTGTATCATGTGAGAATTTGTGAAGTATGGGTTGTAAAATAATTAGCTGTTTGGTCATAAACTAGAGTTGTTTATTTACAAAAGTCATCAGACGCAATCCGTTGTGTCTACTATACTCTTTTGGAGACCCCCAGAAGTTCCATACTGTCTGAAGTCGGGTGGACCTCGACCCCAAGGTATCTGGAACCCGTAGACTAGCTTCGATATGACCCGTCCAGTCTTGAGACATCTCCAGGTCACAACAGTAAGCTGAAATGCTTTTTAGCGTCCAAGGTTGATGTTTGGCTCTTAAAAAAGCTGTTTGGGCTGTGCCAGTCAAAGAGGCTTTTGACTGGATGTCAAAAGACATGATCTCAAAAATGCTTGTTCCGGAATTGGCCAGTTCGAGACTCAGCTAGAAACTGATTTAATAGGGAAGAAAGTCTTGCTTTATTAAACTACTTTGTTATGATTTCTGGCCAAGTTTGGCAAATCAGAATTTGACACGGTTTTGAGTCTTTACCAACATCCCTCAGAAAGCCACGCCTTCTTCAGATACAAAGAGTTTTAACACTTTGTGAATGAGAATGTTTAAACTCTTATGTGAGGTGATAATTACCTTAATGAGTATCTTATTGTAATGTGTATGAGTGTAAACATTGATTAACTTGTTAAATCAACACATACTGATTTGTGACATAAATTGATCATTGTAAGAACAATATTTGTTTTAAATTCATTGATTTAAGCACATTTTATTCAAACATTTGAAGTAAGTATCTTGTTCATTCATCACATATGATAATTTAAGCTTATGAGTTGTAAAGTCATGTAGTCTATACTTATTCAGAGTGAAGAATGTTGAAGTCTGGCTTTTACGCAGAGGTGGCAGGAGACCTTGAGCGAGACTGTTTACATCCCCTTTGAGGAATAATAAGTGGGCAAAGGGTTGTTTTGGAGTCTGGGTCCCGACAGCTGGTGCAGCCTTGAACGTGTATGAATGGTTATGTTGTGTCAATTAGATAGTGAAAAATAGACCACTTGTATACGTAACAACATCACATAACATTTGTGGACTCACCCATCTTGACACATGATGGGGAAGAGCGTTGTTGGAATCAGCAGACAACGTCATGACTAGTAAAAGCTAACTGTTGGCATTAGCAACACCACCACAGAGGAAAACTCCTGCAGGCTTGTGTTATTTGTGGAGATAAATCATCCACGTTGCATGTCAGTGGTAGAGACATGTTGCTGTTATCCAGTCTGAGGCAAGATGTCCAAGTGTTTGGAAATAAGAGTCCAAAACCTGCCATATGAAGCTACCTTCTCCTCTGACTGCCTCTCCAGCCAACACACATTGGTGGGCCCCATATGTAATATATATGGGCAAGCCATAGGGGTCCCAACAGGGGTTTTCAGGGGTTGCCACAGTTGGCCCAAGAGGGTTTGCCCAGAAATATTTTTGCCCACATATATTTTAATTGGCCATTTATTGGTTTTCAGAGGGTTTGACTCAAACACCAGCCCATTAAAATCTTAATGGGCAAACTCCTATGGTACCACTATGGAAACCTCAGACAAACCCTGTTGGGACCCATACAGCTTGCCCATCTATATTCCTTTCAGGCGCATATTTTATTCCCCGTAGTATGACTTAGAAGCAGTGATGGGAATAACGCTGTTTAAAATAAAGTAAAATAAAATAAAACACTGGTTGCATCAGCCTCAGACGTCATGGAGCTCAGGTGTTATTAGAACTACCTGCGTGTGTTTACCACCCAGCTTCAGCTCTTCTGTGTTTGGGTCTGACCCAAGTTGGTAAGTTTAAGTCCTCCATCAGATTTGTGCCTCTTCTAGTGTCATTTTAAAGGATTTTTATTTATTTATTTAACCATTACTAGATTACCAGCAACAGAAATGCTGCCAAAACCCACAATTATGTGAAGCTGGAAAAATTAGAATGCTGTGTAAAACGGCATTTATTTCAGTAATTTAACTAGACTGAGAGAACATTTAAAGGCTCAGGAACCTTTACAGGTGTTTCTATTTGCTATTATAAATTTTAGCTGATTGGGGCCTTGTTAAATATCACACAGTGACCTTTTAATAGTCTAGATTAGTGTAATGATCCTGTTTGTAGTTCCTCCTGTTTAGTGCCCATTTATTTCAATTATTCAGTTTTATAAAACCATTTGGACATGCATTTTATTTTGTTCCAGTCATTAGTCATTTATATTTCAGTATTGTAATAATTTATAGTAAATTTAGTACGTTTAATTAAGAGGGGAAACCATTTTTCTTGCATTCTTTAATGAAAAAAAGTAACGACTTGGTTATTTTTCAGTTACTTTTATAATCTTCCAACTCAGTAAATAACTGAGTTACATTTTTGACAAAGTAGTCAGTAACTATAACTTATTACTTTTTAAAAGTAACATTCACAACACTGCTTAGAAGGCATTCATTCCTACCAGACACCACTGCAATTGTATTGATTAAATGAGTTTCCCACACCTTTAATATACAGTCTCATCTGGGGTTCCTTTCTTTTAATACAGTTTTAAACCAGCTCCATCACTATACTCAGTCATTCACAAATTAATGAACCTTAAACCTAAGGTTTGCCCTCAAAACATAATAAAATTTTCACAAACACATAACGGACACAAATAGATGGATAGATTTACCTTTTTGCCTTTATGATGACTGACCTGTACAACCTGTTCTGCACTAAGCTGTCCCAATCCTCAAGTTTCTTTTCTTTTTTTTACTTGTAATCAAAACTCAAGAATACTTGAACTTTTCCACTTGAGACAAGACAGATCAGGTGCTAACTATCCCTTCAGCAAATTAATGCTCATCCAAAGATGATCTCACACCCCGACAAAAGTCATGGCTTAAAGCCGACAAGACAAGCTCATCAGCAGGAGACAAATGTACAGCATTGAGTCTTCCAAACTGAACACCTTCCATCTTTCAGCCTCACCTAGAAATTATTTCATGAACAGAATATTTTCCAGCGCTCAGTAGGAAGGAGTTTGACACAATTCTGGCAATGCAAATGAAGGTTTCACTTTGGTTGTGCAGGGATTGAATGGTCAGCAGGATATATATAAAAAAAACAGTCTTTTTGACTTCACACAGCACATGTAGACTGTATTTAGTGTATTATATTCTTTCTCATCATACAAACAGCTGGTTTGGCATTAGTAAGCTGTAGCCTCCAGGAATGGTCAGTTTTCTGGCCATTCTGTAGGTGGAAAACCGACCATTCCTGGAGGCTACAAAGCTAAAATCCTTTCATTGCCTTACATTTCCTTGTGATCTCCCTGTTGTTGAGGGACTACTGCCCCAGTCCGGTAATCTGGACTAAGGTATCATTTAGCCCTTTAAACATCTCAGCGGTTGTTTCCCCAGAAATGTTTCAAAGTTAAAATTAAAGTCCCATAGTCATCATCACACACTGGTGAAAAGAAGGCCTTTGGTATGACCCGACCAGGTTTTGAACCTCGATCTCCCAGTCCCACGGTGGATACTACCACTAGGCCACTGAGGAGGTCAGAAAATTATGTATTTAATGATTCTCTGACAGAAATTAAACTAAATTTCTTTTATTTGAGCTGCTGAAACATATTTTTTTCTTTACTGCATTTAAAGTGATAAGAGGGCCTTAGGGCAGAATAATTTGTTGTTTATCTTATTGCCTTGTTTATGTTTTGTCCAAGCAACGCTTGATAAAATGATTAACAAGCTTGAATTCATATAAAACACGCATGATCAGTCTGGTTTGTGCTTAGCAATCAACCAGAATAATTTCTTCTAAAGTCACCAGCTTATTGTGTGTTTAGGGGTCAGTTGAGTTGGTGAAGAAATACTGAATTTCATTATTCCTGTTGCAACTTCAGATGTCCTTCATCTTGCAATGCAGCCAAAGAAAATAGAAACCTTTCTCTTCCAAGAATCAACAAGTGAGTGAAGGATTGTCAGCTTCTACCCTCAAGCTGAAAACTAAAACTATGCCATTGTGTGGAATGTTTCCATCCTTCATTGGATTTTGTGAATATTCTTCTTACAAGCCTTTTGTTGTAATCACTTCCAGGTAGATGCTCTGCGAGTGCGTCTGGAGGAAAAGGAACAGATCTTGACCAAGAAGACCAAGCAGATGCAGGACTTGAGTGATGAAAAGAGCACGCTGACTGGAGAGATCAGAGACATGAAGGATATGTTGGATGTTAAGGAGAGAAAAGTCAATGTTCTGCAGAAAAAGGTATAAATTTCAATTAAATTCTTACAGCATGATTCCAGCAAAGGTTATGATACGTTCACATTAAATATGCATGATTCAAACGGCAGATGCATGAGATGGTTCTTGCTTTAAATGGGTTTATGCACTAATGCATTTATGCACAGAACAGTTGAACGTTGCTAATCACTTCTCTCCACTGTCACTACATGCATGCTTAGTATGAGGGATTGCTGTAAAGTCACTGGAACGACGGAGTGAATGCTGCAAGTCAGTGACTCGAAGCAATCTGCTGGGGTCCTTTAGATAGAAACTAGTTTTTTATTTAGTTGTAATAATGAACTGAACTCAGTGCACTGTTTAGTAGGTTCAACTGGAATGTTTGCTTAGTAAAGTGCCTTGAGATGTCTTGTGCTGTGAGTTTGCGCTCTCTAAACAAACTGAACTACTTTTACTCACATGACTGAATGATCAGCTGTTTGTCATTATAATTTATTTTCCATTTTTGTCTTGGAAATAGCTAACAGGGCTAGTTCTATTTTTGTCTCCAGTCTCGTTTTGTTGTTGGAGTGGGAATTCCCATTACTGATGTCCAGAATTAAGATCTGAAGATTTAGAGGTTTTCCCTGAAAAAAACAAAGAACTAATAACAATGTGAGGTCTTCTCTTGATTGAAAAGATGTTTTCACTCACCCACTGATTTGTTTTGACCAGCATGTAGCTTGCCAACACACCCATCTGGTAAGATTTCATTGATCTGATTGATTTTAGCTTTAGAAGGCAAACACATGGCAAATCGTTTTAAAAAAATGCTTTTTGAGAACAGCTTCCCATTTAGTCATGTGTAATAAACCATCTGTCAAGTCAGGTTATGCATTGGCATTTTAGACACACATACACACACACACATAAAAGGACACACATGCATGCATGCACACTCTGATGCACACACATGCACTAGCACACACACACATGCACACACACACACACACACACACACACACACTCGTGCATGCTCATGCACACACACACCACACACACACACACACACACACACACACACACACACACACACACACACACACACACACATAAAAGGACACACATGCACTAGCACTCACACACACACATGCACTAGCACACACACACACACACACACACACACACACACACACATGCATGCACTAGCACACACACACACACACACACACGCATGCACTAGCACACACACACACACACACACGCATGCACTAGCACACACACACATGCACGCATACACTCATGCATGCTCATGCACACACACACACACACACACACACACACACACACACACACACACACACACACACCCACACACACACACACACACACACACACACACACACACACACACACACACAATGCATGTCTCACAGGTCTTAATGACTTTTATGAGGGTAGTTACTCAGACAGGGCCCATGGCTACCTGTGGTGTCTGCAGGTTGGCCATTCCTCTATAGACCAATTACTCACACATAAAGATCTTCTCCCAACTTCCTTCCTTCTTCTCATGCCAGCAAATTAGCACCCGCTCTCCCTTCTTTCCCTCCCCCTCATTGAAATAATAAAAATGGTCTTCAGAGGTCACAAAAAAGTACTAGAAGTCTGGATGTATGTTTGAGTTTATTTGTTAATTCAGTTGGACTCATTTGTTTATGAGATCTCCAGGTGTTTTCTAAGTGGCACATGGTTTCACCCCACCTGCCAGACTTGACACACTTATTATTAGCTGATGGATTTTCCAAAATAGCTATTAGCAAACATTTGAATAGTCCTTGGGGAATATAACTCAAAGGGTTTTCTTCCAGGTGAAGGAAAAGAGTATAAATAAAAGTAAACACATGTTTTTTATGGACTCAGCGCACTACATTTACTGCTGGCTTATCGTAAAATACAAAGAGAGGCCACGTGAATGCCAAAGTTTTTTTTTCTGACTAAAGAATGACTGTGAAACTGATCTGGCATTCTTAAAATTAAAAGTGCTTTCCTAAAACAAGCCATATGGATTTCAGTGAAAATTCTGAAGACATTTATACTCAATTCTACAAGAAAAATGAATGGAACACAGGTTGGACTTCTTAAAAACTCAAGACACAAATGCAATTAATACATTAAAACTTCCATATGGTGGACCTTTCTGACATTTTTTAACTGTATGTGATTGAAAACAGTGGCAGCTGGTGAATATTTTATTTTTTGGTGGGGCATTTTTGCCATCTGTTTTCAGATGCGTTAACCACATATCACCATTAGGGGATGACAAATTGACATTCTTATGCATCACACAACTTGCAACCAAGTTGTCCCAACAACATGCTTAATTTTCACCAATATATGCTAACTGCACACATACTTGCCTCATTCACTGCCAGCCGTTTCCTGATCAGAAAAGCCCTTCGCTGCCAGCATTTTTCAGCGTTTTAACTGTTTTGTAACTTATTCACTGCCATTGATGACTAAAGTCGTCATTTTAGATAAATGATAATGACCCGCACTTATAAAGCACCTCTCAGAGTAAAGACTCCAAAGCGCTTTACACTACAGTGTATCATTCATCCATTCACACACACATTCACACACTGATGGTGATGAGCTACGATGTAGCCACAGCTGCCCTGGGGCGCACTGACAGAGGCGATGCTGCCGAGAACAGGCGCTGCCGGTTCCTCCGACCACCACCAGCAGGGAAGGTGGGTTAAGCCCAAGGTGGGTGTCTTGCCCAAGGACACAAGAGCAGAATTCTCTGTCCGGAGCCGGGATCGAACCTGCAACCTTCCGATTACTGGACAACCCACTCAATCTGTTGAGCTACTGCTGCCCCAACCATTCAATGCCAATGACGACTAAAGCCGTCCTCACAATTCACGATTATGAAAGAACGGACAATGCTCGAAACACGCGGACTCTTCCTGATGTAAGAGGCGAGTCTCCGCATTGTTTTGGTTGTTTTGGCGTCGGCATCCTAGCGCGCAACGTTCTGTGACTCTTATAAAAACAGTAAAAACAGCGAGAATGGCATGTTCTGTGTCCCTTTGGTCCCCGACCCCCTCCTGTTCTTCCTCCAGGTTCCCCTCGTGTGTCCCCTGGTCTTCTGTGCCCCTTTGGTTCCTCAGCCCCCTCCAGGTTTCCTCCAGGTGTCTCTAGTTTCAGGTTTATTAGTTTGCTTATCTTTAGTTCTCTGTACATTTATGTTAAATCAGTATCTTCCTTTTGTATAATGTGATTCTCTCCCCCCTTAAATATTAGTCTCTCCTGGTCACTTTGGTTCACACTCCCCTCTGCTTGGTTTTCCCTTCCCATTTAGTTAATTGATCTCACCGTTCTCTCCTCAGTTCTCGCTTCCACGCTCATGCTCCTCGTCTCCTAATCACCCAGCTCTGTGTATAAAACCCTGCCTCGTCTCTCTGTGTTTGTTGGTTCACTGTTGTATTTGTCAGCGTTGTTTTGTCCCTCCTCTCGAGACTCAGTAGTTTCTTGCTCCTGAGAGAGCCTTTCTGAGTTTTAGTTTCAGGCTTATAGAGTCCTGCACCTTTCGAGTTTTTGTGAGCTGCATCCTAAATAAAAGGATTTTAATTTTTACCTCCGCTCCTGCTTTGAGTCATTCGGTGGTTTTGCATCTCGGGTCCTCACCTCCTTCTGCTCTCAACGTGACAGAGAACCGCTGGCAGCGAATGAGTCACAGAACGCTGCACTGTATGATGATGTCAACACCAAAACAAACTAAACAAAGAGTAGACTCACCTTTTACATCAGGAATAATCCATGCGTTTGGAAGGTTATCTGTTCTTTCATAATCTGTTGTTGAATTGTGATCGGCAGAAGCTTTTCCGGTTGGCGCTAGGGCTTTCACGGTAACCGCAAAAATGAAATATCGCAATATGAAGAAACCCACCGTGCTGCATCATGGGCCACCGCGATTACTGAACTTGATTCAACTCAATGATGCATGTTGAGAAGGATGGTTGCACTGGTATCAAAACGAAACGTTACTTCGCTCCTTTGGGAGCACTTTGGTTTTCAGTACGTCAGCTGCTGCACAGCCAGAGTCCTTGGCCGAGACAGAGCTGCCACCAGCGGCAAAAAAATAATAATAAACGCTCAGAAACCTGCTGAAGTCCCGGACAAGCACTGCTTCTGCAACTGTCCCGAAGAGAGTTTGAGCCGAGCTGGAGCTCACTCGCTACCTGCAGGAGGAATGCATCCACCCTAAGGAAACCCCTCTGACATGGTGGAGCAACAACCGGGAGAGATTTCCTTTGCTTGCCAGTCGCACGCAAGTACGTGTCCGTTAGTGCAACAAGCGCACCATCCGAGAGGGTTTTCAGTGTTGCTGGAAATGTTGCCACCCCTCTCAGATCCTCTCTCAAACCGTATATGGTTAACATGCTGGTTTTCCTTGTGGGTAACAAGGACATGACCGAGCTATAAATCACCGTCATTCGTGTGTGTGAAAGTGAAATGATAGTGCCCCGCGCCCGGTACATGTAATTTTTTATGCTTGATTTTAAACAACTAAACAAAATGGGGACTTGTTTCTTATTTGTTAGATGCTGCAGCCAAATTTGCATTTAAAAGTTTAACCTTCTCCTGAATTTTGTTGTTTTTAAGTTCAGTCGGACTCCGACTGTCGGAGAAACAAACGTCACTGCGATCTGTGTTGTTACTGCCCTTTGATCTGCATTCAGTAAAGTGTTATAAAAGAAGGCACTGCAATTTTTAACCTTTTTTAAATGTGTAAACATTATGTTTAGATAGTACTGCAATAAAAAAATTGCTGCAATAATATCGCACACCGCAATATTAAGTCACCCTGAATCGCCGCAGGGGGGATTCCTCAACAGCGACAGCCCTAGTTGGCGCATCACTTTTTTTTACAGCGGCGGCCCAGAACGATCTCCTTACACATGGATTTTCTGCTTCCTGGTCATGTGACATGTGATGTACGCAGATGAACATCGACTTTACGGTGCGGGGACTCGTTCCGA